TAGTTTTTCAGAGTTGTTAATCATTTCACTAGGCTGGACCTCTCCCAAAACTCCCAAAAGCTCATAAATCTTCTCCAGTACTAAAAAGTTATTTAATATTATTAAATATTAATTACTGAAGTCGTTACTTTGACATTTCCATTGCCTTTCCTATGTAACTTGCAACCATGAAAAAAACATCCCTGTTGGTTTAATTTTAATTGGTGATCAGCATGGCAGAAAGGCAGCTCTTTATCATGTACACAGATATATATATACCTACATCCTATGATGCGAGGTGCATCCTCCTCTCACATTAAAACACATGTACTTCTTTCAAACAAGGCTTAGAAATCTGATTAAAGGTCATATCCACTGAGGAAGCATATACCACTAAACCAGCTCCTGGCCTTCAGGTTATGCTGAATCTTTTAAGTACCACCACAGTTAAGGCCAATAGCTAGCAGAAACTTAGGCTTGAGTTCAGACTGAAGGGTTCTATGCAGGCACAGCAAGTTTTGCAAGGGTTAGACCTGTCAAACCAAGATTTCAGCTGCAACTAGCTAAGAAGATCAAATTAGAGCTCATATTAGTATGCTTAACATCATAAATAACATGATTAAGCAAGGGAGGAACTGATGAGCTCATATTAGGGGTGACTGATGCAGCAGTTCTCTCAGTAAAACTGCAGCTCTGAGGACATAACTGGGCAGGTATGGAATAAGGTTACAAAGAGCTTTAGAATCACTGAATCATTCAGGTTGGAAAAGACCTTTAAGATCATTGAGTCCAACAGTCAACCTAACACTGCCAAGTCCACCACTAAACCATGTCCCTAAGTGCCACATCTATGGGTCTTTTAAATACTTCCAGGGATGGTGACTCCACCACTGCCCTGGGCAGCCTTTTCCAATGCTTGACCACCCTTTCTGTGAAGAAAATTTTCCTAATAGCCAATTTAAACCTCCCTAGGCACAGCTTGAGGCTGTTACCTCTTGTCCTACCGCTTGTTGGAAGAAGAGACCGACCCCCACCTCACTACTGTAGAGAGCGACAAGGTCTCCCCCGAGCCTCCTTTTCTCCAGGCTAAACATCCCCAGTTTCCTCAGCCACTCCTCATCAGACTTGGGCTCCAGGCTCTTCACCAGCTTTGCTGCCCTTCTCTGGATGCACTCCAGCACCTTAGTGTCTCTCTTGTAGAGTGGCCCAAAACTGAACCAAGCATTCAAGGTGTGGCAGGTACTCTCTTATGTCAGGAATCCTAAACCAGACCTTGGCTTAAATTCAGTATGAACTGCCACAACTAAATGCAGTTACAAGATTTCTCACACGTGTTAGCTCATACATATATACAGGCCTGCGAAGCACCAGCTAACTGCATGATCATGATCAAAAGACCTGAACAAACTTTACTAGCTCCAGAACACCAACAGCTACTATTTTTAAGCACACTTGCCATTGGAATAGCATTTATACATTTTCCTGGGGTATAATGCAACAAAACCTGAGTGCAAATAAAACACAGGTCACTGGTAGAAAAAGTAAAGCCTACCTGTATCAGAAATTTTACTTTTTATGGCAAGTTCCCCATAAAATTTATTAAATATCTCCCCAATTTTCATTTCTTCCATCAGACAGGAACGCTGTAAACTTCGAAGTAACTACAATAAAAAAATATATAATTTAGGAAAATCATTAATATCGATACTACAATCCTACTTGATCTAAATAAAACCACAGTCCGTATGTGTAACTTCAGCCTAAGTATGCTATTCAATAAAATAGATTTGAGGTGACTGGTCCAGGAAAGAGTACTGGCATGAAATCTACTTTAACAACAAATTACCTTCCTACATAGGTATTAATTTTATAGGTTTTAATTTATATTATACATATCAGATATAGATCATCTACATGAAAATTACAGACAGTAGATTTTTATATTTATATATAAAAACCCCATGAAAGCACAGGTTTAGCAAGTCTACAGTAGCCTTTATCATACTGTATTTCTCTCCCTGCTGCTATAAAGCAAATCCAAGTCACAGAAAAACTGAGACTGAATAACTCAGAAGGGAGTTTTGGTTTTCATAAAAAAAACTAAGTAGGTACAAAAGCATTTGCAAAACAATGGTTTAATGCATTCTAAGGAAGAATGTTCTGAAATTACTGTCTCAACTGTGTCTTGTGCTAGTAGATTAAGGAATGACATGTTCATATGTAAGCAATCAACTGGAGAAATATTGAAGACAATCTGTTGTAAAGACGTATCTCTTATTAACATTTAAATATTACACTACCACTATTCTCTTCCTACTGCAGAGTACAGATTTTCTGCATGATGTGGCGTAACCATATTAATACTACAGGTTTTCTACTTTTTTTCTAGAAGCAAGAGATATTTATAAAATGCCTTCACCTTAATCAGGAGTTCCAGAGCTGGGATTTTACATTTTGCTGCTCTCTCTTTTGTGTAAGCACTAATACAAGTTTGCTAGATAGAAAAGAAAATAGAGATTATAATACAAACAGAGAAAGGAATTCAAAGATAACAATGTATTAATCTACTTCTTCAAAGTATCTGTTCCTAACAAGCTTAAGGTTTTAAAAAAGACTAAAACAATAAAAATGTCCAGTCCCAAAAGCAGCTTCATTGACAACACTGCAGCATAGTCTGACAAAAAAACAAATCCCAGCTCAAGCAAAGAAAACGCAGTTTCTGAAATAACAGACACACGTAGCAAATTTTCCACTTCTGTACTATCATTCCTTACAATACATAGCTACTGACTTGAGAACAGAAAGTACATTGGTACAGCTGAGCTTGTCTATACAGACCAATATTATTCAGCAACCTAAAGTCAAAGAATGTTGGTTTTAGAGGTACTGTATTTTCCACCAATTTCTGTACATATTGCAAAAGTAACAACTTCACAGAAGAATTTTTTAAAAAATATCTAAAGCTAACCACCACCTATAGAAATATTAAGACGTGACACTTTAATTAGTGTGCTTGGTTTGTATAAATAAACTTATAAATATTATTTTCAATATCAAGAACATATTTTCAAAATCAATATCCACTATGTTCTATAAAAAGAAGTTAATTAAGTCTATAGTTGAAGAAACAATTCCACATTTCTTTATTGTATGAATTATACTTTATGTTCATCAAGTTATTCCAGCTCTAACAAGCACGCTGGACAAGAATAAAGCATACAGGAAGGGGAGAAGGATAGTTATGAATCTGTTAGAGTATGAGATCAAATTATTTCAACCATTTGGCAAAGACCTTTAGGAAACAATTTTCTTTTACCCACCTTAATATGGCAGGCATAAGGATGAACTTTGTCACCATTTTTTTCCATAAAGACACAAAGAAATTTCAGTGCTTCTTCCCTGCAATCTCGAAACTGAAAGTTAAAAGAAAAAAACATCTAGTCTTAATACATATAACGTGCTGTTCATCAAGCACTATCTCTACATTTAAAAATTAATGGTTTTAAATTGAAAGAGGGTAGATTTAAACATTAGGAAGAAGTTCTTTACTGTTAGGGTGGTGAGGCACTGCCACAGGCTGCTCAGAGAAGTTGTGGCTGCCTCGTCCCTGGCAGTGTTCAAGGCCAGGCTGGACAGGGCTTGGAGCAACCTGCTCAAGTGGAAAGTGTCCCTGCCCATGGCAGGGTGGTTGGAACTAGATTAGCTGTAAAGTCCCTTCCAAACCAAACCATTCTATGACTTTTTTATTATATGAATTAAAGTTTACCAACTTACCTCCTCAATGCCGAGGGACCTGTGGATAAACACGAGTAAGCCATGCTCTTGGGAAAACACGAGGGACAGGTGCAGGGCTGCAGGGAAGCAAACAAACCATGGGCAGTTGGTTTACTTTCTAGAGCAGGCAGAGCTGGAGGGCTTGACACCACTCAGCCCATCACTTTGTGCAGAACGATGCCTTACCCCCTTGGACTGGGCTGATGCTTGTGATCAGAAAAAACACACCTAGACGTGGGTGTTTCTGACCCCCACATGGATGTGAATATAGGTTCTGTGACTCTGACCTCATGCCAGGGCTGGGGGAAAGCCAACCTGGGCGCAGGTGGGCAGAGAGGGGCATGCACTAAAGTGTTTTGAACCAAGGTAAGTGGTTACCTGGGGTAAGAAACTGCCCCTCCCCCGAAATGAAGCATTTTACATCAGGCCAGCAGCCCTCAAATGTCGAGTGAAGAACTGAGGGATGGCAAGGCCATCCCCCAGGACCACGGGTCTGATGCACTGTGTAACCACCACCGCCCCCCCAACCCCCCCATTAGCGATCCCTCCCCAAGACGAGGGGGTGTTTCGAAGCCAATACAGAGCGTACGGCCGGGCAGGCCCCGCACACGGCCCCACTCAGAGGCCCTGAAGCACCCCTGTCCCCTCGCCCGCCCCGGGGCCCGAGTGCGCACCCTGCTCGTCACTCTCCAGGCTGGTGAGACAGGTCTCGCCCAGGCTGCGGAGGAGGGTATATCCATGCAGGGCGGCGCTGGTAGCATCACCGGGCTGCAGGCAACGGTGTAGCTGGAGCAAATACTCATGGACACCCACCATCCTGCCCCAGCCCCGCCGCGGGCCGCCCAACAAAAACAGGCGGAAGCGGGAGCCAAGGAGCCGCCCCCGGCCGCATCCAACACAGCCAGCTTGGGGGGGGTGGGGACGGACGGACGGACGCGCTGTGGCGTTGTGACTGGTAAACTCGGAGGAAGGAGAAGAGTGGGTAGACCTCAGCCACACCATTCAGAGCGGAAGGAGGCAGCACGATCGTCTAACGGCCAGCGGCAGGCGGCATCTTTATGTGTCTCGCCGCATGACCGGATCAATTGACGCAATACACTAGTAGACATCCCCCCTCTGCGGAGAATGGGCTGCTCCGACATCCCCACGCCTCCCTGCCAGACATAGGGCCTAGTTTTGCCGCGAAATCCGTTCTGGCGTGGGCGGTTTTATTTAGGGGTGGGAGGGATGTATAGTGGGCCATTGCTGAGGATACCCTCCGTCTCGTAGCATAGGGAGTACGCTGCAAGTATACTTCTGTCCTTACTGTAGGAGGTCGAGCACGGCGCGACCCTCACCTCGGGGGACCGGAAAGTTTATCTCCTTCCTCCTTTCTTTCTCCGTTCCGGATCCCCCCTTTCCTGTCTCTGTTGGGTGCTCCCGTTGCGATCGGGCCTAACCATTGGCCAGAAAGCCCGCGAACGCGCGCGCACGCGAGTCTCTTGGCACGGAATTTGCCGGTGTCGCTACGTTTGTCCCGGTGTGGTCGGCTTGTGTCCCTAGCCGTCTGTTTATCCGCTGTGCGTGAAGGGGTAGGGAGGAGAATCCGCTGGTAGGGGCTCGGCCTGTTAGCAGAGCGCCCGCAGCTGCTTTCCGCTTGTCGGACCCCCACAGGTAGGACCGCCGCGGGAGCCGGAGCAGCGCCATGTCGTCGCCCGCCTCCACCCCCAGCCGCCGCCGCGGCAGCAAGCGCGGCCGGGGCAGCAATCCGTCTACTCGTAAGTGTTTCAGTGGGAAGGGGTCGACTCGGGACGGGGGTAAGGCGGCCGGGCCTGAGGGAGCGGGTGGGTGCTGGCTGAAAGGCGTTCTCGTCCGCTGCCGTGCATGTTCCTCGGTCCGCCTTACGCGGCAGGGCGACCATCTAAACGCCGGCTCCGTTTATGCTTTGTGTCTTGCAGCGCAGGATGCTCGGTCTCCTCCTTCGCAGAAGCGCAGGACCGACGACTCCACCTCCATCGGAGAGCTGCAGCCCATGCCCACCTCCCCGCCCGCCGACCTGCAGAGCCCCGGCGGCCCCGATGCGCTCTTTTCCAGCCCTCCGCAGTTCCAGCACTCCGGTACAGTACGCCGGGGCTCGGGCAGCTCCGCTGCTGCTGCCTAGCGAGCCGGTGCGGAGAACGAAAAATAGTCGTGGGGAAGAGGAAGGGGGTGGGAAAAATAGTTTTGTCGCAAGTTTTCGATTTGAATTTGTCATAGCGAACATAGCAGGAACACAGTGTCAAAGGTGCAGATCTGCTGTTGTAGCTTTCAGCCATCTTGGGAAGTATGTATCAGGGGTTATGCCTTATGTTTTCATGTGTTTCTAGAATACAATAAATCAGTCAAATTATGAATGCAGAAATAATTTGACTCGTTGCCTTAAAATGCCTTTCTTGTTTCTATAAACAGGACTGGTTTTCATTGCAGTAGCTGGTAACTGCTATAACACTTGTTTTGCAGCCCCAAAATACTGAAGAATGCACTTCATCTAAAATGCTACCGTTTGACTTGTTATGCTTGAACACCAGTGTAGTTGTAAAATGCTGTACCGCTTTAAAGCTCTCTAGTTAAGCTTCCCTCCTTTTCCTAGAGCTTTGGGGTCTCTCAGAAGAGATGTTAATGCAAAGTTCTAGGTAGACTTGCAACATTTTTACTGTTTCTGCTTTAACAGGACTCTGGAATTGATTGATGCTACTTGTTTTATGACAGTAGAGTTAAAAGAATGACGAGACAAATGCAGAGGCTGAATTGTAGTCTGCTCTGAATGTCTTGATAATGCAAAATGTCTTGATAATCTTTTTTTTTTTTTTTCTAATAGCTATTCCACTTGACTTCGATATCAGTTCACCTCTGACATATGGCACACCCAGCTCCAGGGTGGAGGGTACTCCACGAAGCGGTATCCGAGGAACTCCAGTTCGGCAGAGGCCAGATCTCGGGTCTGTCCGTAAAGCCAGAGAAGTCGATTTACACTCAGATGGGGTAGGTAGATGTCTTAGGATTTTGTATCTGACAACTTCTTTTTGACAACAATATTTGTGTATGCTTATTTTGTTTCCATGCAGCTGGCTGAAGATACAGCAACCGACCAATCTCTTGGACAAAAGCTTGTCATTTGGGGAACAGATGTTAACGTAGCCTCATGCAAAGAAAAATTCCAGGTAGGTTAACAACTTGGGTTTTTTTTTCCTCTTTTTAAATGAAAAGCTAGTTTGACTTAAGCAAGTATTAGTTGCATCGATGCAAAGTTGGTGTTCATATTACTAAATTCTGCTCACCTTTCCTGTCTGTCTCCTTATTACCTCTGACATTCAGAGATTTCTTCAGCGCTTCATCGATCCAGTAGGTAAAGAGGATGAAGACGTTGGCTTGGATCTCAATGAGCCCCGTTATATGCAACGACTTGAAGAGGTATTTGTAACCCAGTGAAATTTAACTTTTCATTTTTTAGTCTTGTGTACCATTGAGCTAAAGATTTCTTTTCAACTGTCTTTCAGATTAATATGATTGGGGAACCATTCCTGAATGTAAATTGTGACCATCTAAGATCATTTGATGAAAACCTTTACAGGCAACTCATCTGCTACCCTCAGGTGAAGTAGTGTGCTTGTTTTCTGGCTTTCAAGTGGCCTTTCTGTATTATTTCTGGCTTGTGATCTGTTTGTTTAGATGCAGTGTGTGCTTTGTATGTTCAGTGTTATCTCTGTAGCTTCTTTATTCTACTTAATGCAAAATGTCTTCCTAATGGTTGAGCATAGATACTGTAGTGGGCACCTCATGCATGCAAAACTAGCTGGTAAACTACAGTGCTACAGTGTTCAGAGTCTCGTCTGTTATTTTTTTCCCCTCTTTGCAATACTCAAATAAATAAACCCAATCTAAACAGCAAGTCTTCTGTTACATAGGAAGATGCTCAGCTGGGATAACTTTTAGTCATTCCTGGCTGATCATCAGCATGTAAAGTGCTTTTATGCAAAGTATTTAATTCTGTGATTTATTTACTTTTTTAAAATTTAAGCTTAACTGTTTCTAACCATTTCACACAGGAAGTTATCCCAACGTTTGACATGGCTGCCAATGAGATCTTTTTTGATCGTTACCCTGATTCAATATTAGAACATCAGATTCAAGTAAGGCCATATAATGCACTGAAGACTACAGATATGAGAAATCTAAACCCTGAAGGTAAACTTTTGATTACTGCGTTAGAAAATAATCCTAAGGGTTTGTATAGACTTATTGAGTATTAACAGAAAATTACATGAAGACTGTATAAAACTGTACTTGTAGTCCATCCAGACCAGTGTCTTGTGTTTATGTCTGTTTCAGAAACAAATGCTTTAGAGCCCAAATGCAAAATAATCAATCTGTAAAGGAAATCTTTCCTGGCATCACAGAACGGTTTGGGTTGGAAAGGACCTTAAAGATCATCCAGTTGCAACCCCCCTGCCATAAGCAGGGATACTTTCCACTAGAACGGGTTGCTTAAAGTCCCATCCAACCTGGCCTTGAACACTGCCAGGGATGGGGCATCCGTAACTTCTCTGGGCAACCTGTTCCAGTGTCTTACCACCCTCATACTGAAGAATTTCTTCCTAATATCTAATCTAAATCTACCTCATCCAGTTTAAAGCCATTGCCCCTTATCCTGTCACTCTATGCCCTTGTAAAAAGCTCCTCTCCAGATTTCTTGTAGGCTTCTTTATGTACTAGAAAGCTGCTACAAAGTCTCCCTGGAGCTTCTGCTCATGTTCTTAGTTCTGTGAGAGTGAAGGATTCTTTCATTTGTATAAATATTCCTGTAAATTAGAATATATGTACTACCCATTTATGATTCTTTTTGCTTTGTCTTAGGCAAAATACTAGTACCTAACTGAATATCTACCTGCCACCTAAAAGTTAACACAACATGTAATTTTGAAGGTTACTTTAAATTTTAAGCGTATGAAGTCATGACACAAGTCTCAATGCTTTGTAGATATCGATCAGCTTATCACCATCAGTGGTATGATCATCAGAAGCTCCCAGTTAATTCCTGAGATGCAAGAAGCATTCTTTAAATGCCAGGTTTGCGCTTTCACCACCAGAGTAGAAATCGATCGTGGCAGGATTGCTGAACCATCAGTATGCAAGAACTGTAACACAGTGCACAGTATGGCGCTCATCCACAACCGATCCATGTTCTCTGACAAACAGATGGTACGTTGAGCTTAGGTAGTGACTAAAAAGAAAGTTTCTGGTTTTTGCTCCCTCACCCCTCTGTATCATCAACAGCATTAACATACGTATCTTTGAGACTGAATGTTTTGAAATGGGAAGAGTGTTTTGGAACATGAAAATGGGTGAAACAGCTTAGTAGAAGTATCAGTATACTTTGGAGAAGAAATACCCTAAAATGATGAAATGAACATCTGGATGTTTCCATATGGAAACGCCTTTATATATAGTATGTCCACTTGTACCTGGACTAGATTAAGCATTGTCTGTAACAGTATTTTAGCCATACCAGTTGCAATTAGCAGAATTCTCATTTTCATCGTATCTTTTAATTAGTAATCAGTTTTGCTGTTTGGATGGGGGTATACTGTTCTTGAGTGATATTCCAGATTCAGAATTATTCTGGAGACCCTGCTAAACAAGATTCTGTTGCATGTTTTGCGGAAAAGCATTTATTTCTTGAAACTAAAACAGTGTTTTTTGCTAGGTCAAACTGCAGGAGTCCCCTGAAGATATGCCAGCAGGACAGACCCCACATACAGTTGTCCTATTTGCTCACAATGACCTGGTCGATAAAGTTCAGCCAGGTGACAGAGTTAATGTCACAGGTAAAGTCTGGTTTGAGTGTTTCTTCCTCTTTCACTGATCTTGTCTGTAAAGGGATTTGACAGGATGCACCTGCAAGTTCTGAGGAAGCTGGCCACTGTCTTTGTAAGGCCACTCAGTTCTCTGAAGTCATGGTAACTGGCTAAGATACTGGAAGACAGCCAGTGTCGCTCCTATGGCAAGGAGGAGACCTGGGGAGCTACAGACCAGTCAACCTAATCTTGACCTCGGGAAGGTGATAGAGCCAATAATCCTAGAAACCGCTTCTAACTGTATGAAGGACAAAAAAATGACTGGGAGTAGTCAGCATGTATTTACAGTGGCTAATAATCTTCTACAATGAGATGGCTGAAGCAGTGGGTGTTCTTTATTTCAACTTTAGCAAGGCTTTCATCACTGTCTCCTGTAACATTCTCATAGACAAACTGATGAGGTATGGGTTTCAGAAATGGACAGTGAGATGGATTTTAAACTGGCAGAAGTACTGGGCTCAAAGCGTAATGTATGTGGATGTAATGATGTAATGATGGGACAGAGTGCACCCTCAGTAAACTTGCAGACAAAAGCAAAACTGGAAGGAATTGGAGCTTGACAGACCAGATGACTGGTGCCAGCAGCTTCCTGGCTTCTTAAGGGAAGCGTTGCCAACAGGTTGAGGGAGGTGATCCTTCCCCTGTGTTCAGCACTGGTGAGGCCACATCTGGAGTATGCAGTCCAGTTCTGGACTCCCCTCTCCAAGGGAGACATGAACATACTGGAGTGAATTGTCTGACCTTGATGGTTCAGTATTCTGAGAATGTAGGTGAGGAAGAGGCAGTATCTGAAATGGTGTCTACTGTCAGAAAAGTGGTAACACAGAGGAAGTCTAGTGATACTGCAACCATGTTTTATAAACAATTTTGTTTTTAAACAACTGCTGTACTACTAGCTATTAGAGATGCATTAGAAGACTATTACTAAACTTGGCACTTAGAACTGGGGGGATGCTGTTGGAGCAGGACTTTCAAAAGCATCAAGCCTTAATTTTTTTCAAAAATGCTTAAGAATTTTCCTTGTTGAGAATACTTGTGATAAGAATGTTACATGTACCTGCAAAAATAGTGCCTAGATGATTTAAATATGTTCCATTGGTTTCTACATGATTTATCTGTACCGGGAAATAAATTATAAAATAAATACAATAAATAAAGTATTTAGGCTATTTTGAAAAGCTTTACTTCTCAAGGGAACATGTAAAATTCTCAGATTTTGGAATTACCATGATCTTCATATCTAATGCTGTGATTAAAATTTGTATTTAGGTATCTACAGGGCAGTCCCAATTCGAGTTAATCCAAGGGTCAGCAGTGTAAAATCCGTCTATAAGACGCACATTGATGTCATACACTATCGCAAAACAGATTCAAAACGCCTGCATGGTGTTGATGAGGAAGCAGAGCAAAAAACATTTACAGAGGAACGTGTGGCAATGCTAAAAGAGCTTTCTAAAAAAATAGACATATATGACAGACTTTCTTCAGCACTGGCTCCAAGTATCTACGAGCATGAAGATATCAAAAAGGTGAAAATTCTGTATTTCTCTTGTAAGATTTGTATTTATATGCAAGTACATTTGTAATTATTTGTTATAAAAATGACTTAAGCCTTCAAAATTGAGAAAACTAACAGTCTTAAAATGGCATGGTATTGTCAGGATGGAGTTATAAGTGCATTGTAACTCTTTTCACAGTATTAAGCAGTGTTAATTAGAGGGAAGGTAACAAAAAGGTAGGAAAGCAGCAGAACTGGGAAAACTTAAGTTGCAGGATGCATCTTGGATGTTTCTTGAATGTTCAGATTGGTGGTGATCAAAGAATAAGTACTATAATAAGCACATAGTGACTGTTGAAGAGAGACATCCACAAGAGAACAATAGCTTTAAAATGACAATTGGTTGACCCCAACTTCCAGAATGGCAAAGCAATTATTTAGATATATACAAGAAGGGACTGTTTGAATAATATGTTCAACTGAGGTACTACAACTTTATCATTGCAAAAACTACAGTCTGTGGTCAGTCTCAAGGTTATGTCAGACACCAAACAATACTCTTCAAGTATATTTATAGATTTATATATTATCCTGGTTCACAGGTTTCTAAAATGGCTAGAAATTGAATTAAAAACCATACAATGATTTCCTTCTGAAATGGAAATACTGGGAAATAATGAATTTTAATCTAGTGAATTTGAAAAGGGGAAAAAAGAATCCTCCCTGATAACTCTGGCTAACTGATAAAATTACAAGCATATGTTTAAAGTAATAATTCCAGTACTTTCAAAATACTGCAAGTTACTACTTTTATTTCTTTACTAAGACTGCAAGCATATACTTTCTTTAGGAAATATAAAGAAGGAAGTGTTGGTAAATTCCAATGAAATAAAACACCTTAAGCTTCCTCTTTATGGGCAAGTAAGGAACTTTTATTTAAGTAACATTGTGAATGCAGCAAAACAGTTCTTTTGAAAAGAAAATTATACTTAACTAGCCTTGGCTAAGCAGCTGATAAAAATGGCACCTAATGGTAAAAAAGAGGTAATAGTACTTTGGTCCTAGATTAATATAGCCTTAGGAAAAGCAATAATTTATTCTGATTATATAACTTTTGGAATAGATTTGGAAAGTATCTGATTTAAAACTTTAATTAAAAGCTGAGTTTGTAGGACATAGCAGTTTAACTGTATGTTTGTAATTAACTGGAAATGAGGATATGTATAAAGAACAAACCCTTTTAAAGACTTCTACAGTTTCAAGTGTTTTCTTTCATGTTTGAGTTGTGTTAATTTTCCTAGTGTTCCAATTGATTAGATGTTTTGGTTCACAGTTGGATTTGCTCTGTGAGCTATACAACAGGTGATGTTCTGATTTTTAAAGAAGAGTATTTTTATAGGGTATTCTGCTTCAGCTTTTTGGGGGATCAAGAAAGGATTTCACTCACACAGGAAGAGGCAACTTTCGTGCAGAGATCAACATTCTTCTCTGTGGTGATCCTGGTACCAGCAAATCACAGCTGCTCCAGTATGTGCATAACCTGGTTCCTCGGGGTCAGTATACATCTGGCAGAGGCTCAAGCGCTGTTGGTCTTACTGCGTATGTGATGAAGGATCCAGAAACACGACAACTGGTTCTTCAGACAGGGGCTCTAGTACTCAGTGACAATGGCATTTGCTGCATTGATGAGTTTGATAAAATGAATGAAAGCACAAGATCAGTACTGCATGAAGTAATGGAACAACAGACTCTCTCCATTGCAAAGGTAAGTGTTTAGTTCCGTGCTCTTTCCACAAAGCATGTAGTATGTGGTATATGCTATGCAGCTGAAACTGAAAAGTTACCAGAAGAACAAAGGATTATCCTTTTCTGTTGTTGTCAGTCTTAGATTATGTAAAAACTCATTTACAAAAGAATACAGCTTTCATAGCAAACTCTAGTATTTCCAGATGTTTTTGTTCTTGCTTTACTCCAAAAGGCTTTTGCAATGCAGTTTTTTTTTTCCTACAAAACCCATTTAATAATACTGATGATCTTATGAAACGGGGGGGGGAATGTTTTGGTGGCACACAGTTGCAGCTGGTTTCAGAAATGTTTTTCATTTTGACAGGCTGGAATTATTTGCCAACTGAATGCTCGTACATCTATCCTAGCAGCAGCTAACCCTATAGAATCACAGTGGAATCCAAAAAAGACTACTATTGAAAACATTCAGCTTCCTCATACACTGTTGTCAAGGTACTGAGCTTCTGCTTGCATATCCCATTTTTATGAGATGTTATATGTCCTCTTCTGAAAATTATTAAATGTAATAGAACAGAATAATTCTGTTCTTTGTAGTGTAGTGGAAACCTTCTATAACATTTACTGTAAATGCTTTTCTTACAGTTTCTGTGTAAGCAGAGAACTGCCTTTTGGTATTTACACACTGAAGAAAAGCTATAATGAGATCTGTAGGATCTCTCGTTATTTCTGTGGTATTGGTTTTCTGTTGATTCCTAATAATCTCCTAGAAGAGTTGTTCTGAAACTTACAGTATTGTTAAATTAAAAAAAAAACTCAGGATGTTTTCCTTGGCTCCATGGAACTTTTGAAGTGAAACACTGACACTGGGGAATTTGCAGCAGAGGTGACAGATTTTGAAGATTGTGCCTGCTTTATGCTCTGTTAAATTCAGCTGGGGAGGTGGCAGGCAATAGCTTTTAGAGCAGCATTTAATGTCTGGTGATAGAAGATTAAATGATGTGCTGCAGTTGCATCTTGTGAAGAATTCCCACACTAACTGGAAATCTGATGTACAGCGGTATACTGAATATTCTGCACTTACAGCTTAGACCTCAATGAAGAGCTGCTTAATTTAGCCACCTAGTGACAAATAGTACCTTGGTGCAGGTGTACTGAATGAAACTAGGCTTAGTTAGCGTCTAGATTCTACCATTTATTGGATTTAAGCTTATGAAAATATGTGATTGGCTAAAAATCTATTCTTTGTGTCTGCCTGTAGTTCAGTATAGTTGAGCATATTGTTTGTAAAATTATAAACCATTTTCTTCAGGATTTTGGAAGAACCACTTCAGGAAGTGTGGTTGGTTTGTTGGTGTTTTTTTTTCATTTATTTATGTTTTTCTTTGTTTTTTTAGATCAATGAAATAACTACATAGATATGTGCCTTGTCTGCTGTTGCCTTTCAGGGTAGTTGCTTTAGCAGCAAGTTTGTCCTCTGTATTTGGTATGTGTGTAGGGGGTTTTATGTAGGGGGTTTCTGTGTGTGTGTGGTTGGGTTTTGTTGATTTTTTAAAAACAAAAGCTGTCAGCCTTGAACACGGGATCAGAATTTTGCAGAACATCTCACTTCCAACGTTTCAAGTCCATAGGATGAAAGCAAATCCGCTGTGCTATTCTGCACTTTCAGAACTCTAGAAAAAAATAACCTTTCAGATTAATAGAGCAACTCCTACTTAAGAGCAGGAATTAATAGTCAAGTAACTCCTACCTGTAGTTAAGTCAAGACCCCTCAAACAAACTATTTTCCATGGCAAGGAAGCAGACACACTAATACTGGATTCCTATCCCGTTCAGATTTGACTTGATCTTTTTGATGTTGGATCCACATGATGAAGCTTATGACAGACGTCTTGCTCGCCATTTGATTTCACTGTACTACCAAACTGAAGAAAAGATGGAGGAGGACTACATGGATATGGCAGTATTGAGGGATTACATTGCATATGCTCGTAGCTATGTAAATCCCAGGTTAAGTGAAGAAGCAGGCCAAACCCTTATTGAGGTAAAGGAATTGCTCTTAAGAATGGTCAGAGTCTTTCCCAAGTTCTCAAAAATGGCAAAATCCCCTAGTCTGTTTACATACAACTTTTCTGTAAGATCCTTCAAAAAAATCTCTAAAAATTTAAAAGAGGGATTGGTATACAAGTCATTCTGCACTCTAATCTTTAGCTTTCCAAAGTGTTGGTTTGGTTCCATCACATAAAAAACGAAGTTCTACTGAACGAAATATATACATCTTAAATACTTGTGTCTGTAATGACAAGTCCTACATTTTTAAAGTGATTCAAAACTTGATTCATCATCATGGCTTAATTGCTTTATAACAGGAAGTAGTATACGTGATACAGTCATCCATCCTTTGTGAATGTTCCATCCCTGGTGGTGTTCAAGACCAGGTTGGACAGAGCCTTGGGTGACATGGTTTAGTGTGAGGTGTCTCTGCCCTTGGCAGGGGGGTTGGAACTTGAGTATCTTAAGGTCCTTTCCAACCCTGACTATTCTTTGATTCTATTCTATGATTCTATGAATTGTGACAGTATTTGAGCAAAATACATTCTCTAGAATGGCAGCTGGAATTGCTTATATTCTGAAATCACAGGTGGGGGATGAAGGGGAGTCTGAAAACAATGAATATAACTGGATTTCCTGAAACATTTAATGACTTCTCTTCAGGCATATGTGGACATGAGGAAGATTGGGAGTGGCAGGGGAATGGTTTCTGCATATCCTCGACAACTTGAGTCTCTGATCCGACTGGCAGAAGCGCATGCTAAAGTACGCTTTTCTGAGAAAGTTGAAATAGTCGATGTAGAAGAAGCAAAACGGCTCCATCGGGAAGCACTGAAACAATCTGCTACTGATCCGAGGACTGGAATTGTCGACATATCCATTCTCACTACAGGTTTGTGATGTCATAGTGTTAGATCTGGGGTGCTCTTGGGCATTTGTAACTTAACCTGTCCTCCTAAGTAAGTTGTTTTCTGAAAGGTATTTTCATTCCTTTTCTCAGGAATGAGCGCAACAGCTCGTAAGCGGAGAGAGGAGTTGGCTCAAGCCTTAAAGAAGCTTATCCAGTCAAAGGGTAAAACACCAGCTTTGAAGTACCAACAGCTTTTTGATGATCTCAGAGCACAGTCTGATACAGTAAGTTTCTTCATTTTTACATTAATTTTTAAAAGCACGGTGTTCCTCCAAATCAATATTCTTGTCCTAAAACCACACTATGGAGGGAGAGAGACATCTAAGTTTTTCAGCTGACATTATCAGAAAACCAGTTCTACTGCAGATAAATGAGTTCCATCTTTGCTGTACTGTAGCTTATTCTGGCTTCTGGAATTGCAAAATCAGCTTCAGGATTCCTAGCCAGATTTCAAATTGCAAAAAGAAGCTAAACCTTAAAAAAAAGATAAGAAAATTGGCAGAATTTAAGGCATTTCTATTTGTCTTTGAAGTATTTCATCCCCTACCTGGATCTCATCTTTACTTGATTTCCTTTTCTTTAAGGCTGTCACGAAGGAGATGTTTGAAGAAGCGCTTCGTGCCTTGGCTGACGATGACTTCTTGACTGTGACTGGGAAGACTGTTAGACTGCTTTAAGTTAGCCTTTCCTTGTGCACTGACTTGTCACAGCTTTTGCTTAAAATGGTGTCAGTCTGTAAGATCTTTGAGATTTGGGACTATCATTTGCTATGGCAAGCACAGCTTTTTTCCTTGCCAGCCAGCTGTCATGGCTTTACTTTGCCTTACAATATTGCCTGTCTGCAAGATTAAGATCTGGGGCTAGCACTTGCTATGACAAGTGTTAACAATGATTATGGGGCACTTCTATCAGCACAAGATTCCTAGCATAAGGAGGACCTAGAAAGTCCTCAGGTGAATGAAGCTATTTACATTTTAGCTCCATGTAATTACTAAATGTGTTGAGTGCTATCTGTTTTTATGAGGTTTTGTAGAACATGCGAACAAGGTTATATTTCAAGTTGAATTGTAAAAATTCATCTTTTTTTTTTAGTGAATGCAATTTCACTATTAGTATTGCTGTAATCTGAAATAAAGTTATTTTACTTGAATGCTAAAGAGCCTTTTAAAATGAAAATGAGCACTTTTACATCTAGAATTCTGTGATTTCTATGAAGTTCTTTGTGGGAACGTGAAAGGAGCTTTGCTTTTTTTTTTGTTCATCTGTCTGACTTGAGAGTACTTCGGTAGTACCCTCAATGTAAAAAATGCAGATAGATTCTACTTGAAACCAGGTTTTCTTATCTCAATTTTAAGCATAACAGGATAAATTGAGATACCCATCATGGGTGTAATGTCATATAATTTGTCCTGAAAGAACAAGGTCCAGTAGCGCATGACTGAAGAATCTTCCCACATTCTAGCTGGGGTAGATGTTCTTGGCCATTGTACATCAACGGCCGCTATTGTTCTTACAGCTGAGCTAGCAGAACAGTTCCCTAATTCACTTTGGTACAGTGTCACAAATGACTCACTCAAAGACTCACCAAAGATACCAGCAAAAGTAGTTTTAATATGGATTTGTGAAAGGGCAACTTAGCAAAGTTCAAGGGCAAGGTACTACATGGGTTAAACATACAAAGGAAAATAGAGTTAGAATCATAGAAAAATTAGGGTTGAAAAGGACCTTAAGATCATCTAGTTCCAACCCCCCTGCCATGGGCAGGCACACCTTAGGCTAAATCATATCACCCAAGGCCTCATCCAGCCTGGCCTTGAACACTGCCAGGGATGGAGCATTCACAACCTCCCTGGGCAACCCATTCCAGTGCTTCACTACCCTAACAGGAAAGAATTTCCCCTTTATATCCAATCTAAATTTCCCCTAAGTTTTAACCCTTTACCCCTTGTCCTATCACTACAGTCTCTAATGAAGAGTCCCTCTCCAGCATCCCTATAGGCCCCCTTCAGATACTGGAAGGCTGCTATGAGGTCTCCATGCAGCCTTCTCCAGGCTGAACAGCCCCAACTTCCTCAGCCTGTCTTCATATGGGAGGTGCTCCAGTCCCCTGATCACCCTTGTGGCCCTTCTCTGGACTTGTTCCAACAGTTCCATGTCCTTTTTATGTTGAGGACACCAGAACTGCACACAATACTCCAGGTGAGGTCTCACAAGAGCAGAGTAGAGGGGCAGGATCACCTCCTTCGACCTGCTGGTCACACTCCTTTTGATGCAGCCCAGGATATGGTTGGCTTTCTGGGCTGCAAGCGCACACTGCCAGCTCATGTTCATTTTCTCATCAACCAACACCCCCAAGTCCTTCTCCTCAAGGCTGCTCTGAATCTCTTCTCTGCCCAACCTGCAGCTGTGCCTGGGATTGCTGTGACCCAGGTGTAGCACCTTGCACTTGGCATGGTTAAACTTCATGAGGTTGGCATCAGCCTGCCTCACAAGAGTGTCAAGGTCCCTCTGGATGGCATTCCTTCCCTCCAGGGTATCAACTGAACCACACAGCTTGGTGTCATTGGCAGGTTAGAATCGATTTAATGATGTACACAGACTAAAGATGCAAAAGGGTAAGGGAGACCCTCCTGTTAAGTCACAAGGTTCAGAGTGGACCCCCCTTGCTTTCTGAACTCCTGGAGTTTAGGTGCAACTAGGTGGTCCAGTCCTAGCCTCAGACTTGGACAATGGCTTATGTCTAAAGGGTTACATGTGTAATCAATTAGGATTGCCTAAAGAATCACTATCCAAGATACCAGCAAAAACTGATCTTAGTATGATGTTGTAGAAGTACCAATTTACCACAGATGTGATTTTTACATGCCTTGTGACCTACCAGCATTGTGCAGTTTGAAGCCTGTATTTAGAAGTCGACTAAGGTTATTTGCAGTTTAAGGTGGATCACAAGATCTAGCAGCAGTGACTTAATTACAGGTCTGAAGGGACAACATCCATGCTATACTTGTTACAGGGTATCTAAATCCATCTACACACATGCACAAAAAGACGCATATGTATAAAAGTATACCTGTTAAAAATTTCCCTGGAGTTCTGTGAAATACTCACTTGAAACATCTCAGAATTTTTTAACAGGCAAAGGCTGAGCCTTGAGGAATGGGCAATCTTCAGTCCAGGCCCCGTTGTCAGTTTTTCAGTGACAGTCCTCCAAACTTAACAAACCTGAGAGTTCACCAGCTCCAAGAGGCGTCCCACTCAAGAGATACAGATAGCTCACTTAGCCCTTTTAAAATGAAGTAAGTACTTCTGTGCCACTGCTTCCAACAGAAGGGAAGAAAATCTCCACGTGAAAGGGGAGCACCTTAAAACCTAATTTTTCTTACTACTGGCTCATTGTACGAGCAAGATACCATTTACTTGTAGTTGAAATTTCAGTGATTTGCTTTTTAGTACAAGGAACTCAGTCTATCCTGGAGTTAAAAATACAGCATGTATCAGAAAGATCAGGTTAAGATACAACCCTCTCTCCCCAGTCTTGTTGATTACTAAACAAGTCACTATTACCTCATCTTCTTGGCTTTCATGGACTGGATGTAGTTCATTTTGTGCTTCTCTATATAAGTCTAGGTTCCCTTACTCAAGGCTTAAAAGTTAGATATAGGTAAGTTGGTAAGATGGGAGCTTGATGCCTCTCTTAAAAACCTGTGAAAATTCTAAACTCCCTTAAATAGCAGAATCAGATTCTCTATGGCTCTTATCTTATAGGATCTCATTTTTCTTGCTGCCATATTATTAGTTATGTATTTTGCTCATGAAACAGCCATCTCATGACTTCCTCCTCTTTCTTTGCCAACTGTAACATACCTTTATTTCACAGTTGCTTTTTGCTTCTTGACAAGTATCACATTTTTTAATTCATACTGCTTGGTACCTGAAGTACTACCTCAGTTCATAAACATATATCTCCCCTGTTCTTCCACTCTTGCAGTTGCAGCAAGACTATCCTTCCTAACTGCTTGGTACCTCCTCTTGTCAGACAAAACAGCACCAAGAGAGTTTCTTAAATATGTGTTTGAAATTTGATTTTGTGGTTAAAAAAAAGAAAAAAAAAGTGATGCATCTGGCTACATCAGCAAAATTCCTCAAATTAAAATTGCCTGTCAGTATGGAAACTATTACTGTTAAACAAATTGGGCCGTTCATCTACTTGCAAATTCAAGTGCCTATTGAATCATGCAGACACAAAAATCAAGTGTTCTAGTAAATGGAAGAAAGTTTTTGTGTGTAAAATGGGTTTCAGCTCCCTTTCAATTTGATTCTTTGTATGTTCTAGTTCTTTGATTATTTTTTAAAGAAAAATGGATATGCTAATTGCTGTGTTTAGTGATTACAGGGTTATTTGCAGAATAACCCCACTAGGTGGCTCTTAAAGCCTGTACATAGTAGTTGATAGTGATTTTTTGTTTTTTTTTTTTATAAGAAACGACTGCAAGTGCCAATATATCATTAGGTAGACAGAATGGAAATGCTTATAAACAGTATTTTTGTAAAAAAAAAAAAAAAGCAGAGTAAAAGATCTTCACCATCCATATGCTAATTTGAACTGTACACAAAGGAAAAGATTAAAGTAATAAACTGGGAATATTTTCCTTACCCTATGCAATAGTCTCAAACTCTGTATCACAATTTACTGCTGTATTTACACTATGCTGTTAGCATTTATAAGTAAGCTCATTTAAAAAACAACAACTCAAGTCATTTAAAGACTGGAATACGCAACCAGGGGAAAGCACTCCTGCCAGAAACTTCAGATGCTTAACATCAGAAGCAACATAGAAAAAAGGCATTAAAGTCTTCTATACATTTTACAAAAGGTATGAAAAGAAATTATAGGGCCTACTGGCAAAACTGTTTGTAAGTCACTTTGAGAGACCACAGTTGAAATTATCTGCTATCTTGTTTTAAAGAGAATCTCCTGGTGAAGTGAAATAGAATGGTACTCTTGTGTTTTCCTAGCACAAAATACAATCAGTGGCTACTCAGGGTGGTTGGGGAATCAGTACAAGATAGACCAAAAGATGTCATTTGCTACCACTGTTACTGGTTTCAGAGCTTGTACTTCACTTCTCTGCAAGCACAGATTTGTCTGAGAAGTGACTCAATCTAGTCATCCCCAGTTTTGTTAGGTACTTCAGTAGGAACAGATGTAAATTCCTAAGAAACAACTATCAAGATAATCCTATGCTTACCATAACTGAGATCATATACTCCTCGAGACTGAGTTCCATCTGGCCTTATCAAACTTCAGTCTTTATTTTTGGCAGTCACTCTGGAATTGCAATTTTATCTTCCTTGAAGGCTGCAGGACTTCAGGATTATCTCAGGAAAAGAAGAGAGTACACTAAAGACTGCATGTCAAATAGCTTGTCAGGGAAGTGATTCAATCCCACTTTTGCACTGTATCTGATTTCATAATTAGAGCTGCTATGTAACTTGCTGTCTGGATGCAGCGATATGGGCTAAAGAAAGTAAGCATTTTGTATTTTTTCTGACACCTACAAGACCACATGTACTCTTGTAAAAATACATGTGTAGTTGACTTAAAATGCATGGGATTCATCATCTGTGAGGTAAACCAACAGTCAATATGGAGGCTGTCATCCAGTTCTCAGTTTGCATGGCCACCTTACAATAAAGTTTACAGACAGCCTGGCACCAGCTTGCATAATTTAATGCTTGAAAAGATAAAAAAGTTAGTTAATTGTGGGTTGTAAGGTTTCAAAAGTACAGCTTGTCTATGCAATAAGCACAACCAGACTCCCCCTCTGACTGGCACCTTTGGACTCCAAATTGACAGGGAAACAAGAGCACTGTATTTGCTACTATGAAAAACAGTAGTTGATAAAATCTGAAGACCTACTAATTATATTGCTTTAAACGAGCCATGAAGAGCCAACAGTTGTGACAGAGGATTAACATATACAGTTACAAAATCCTGGTTTTGGTAGTAAAACACACTGAGGAAGAAAAGGACAAAATCAGCTTTATCCTCATGTAAGCAAAACCAACATTTTATCAAAAAAGTTATATATTTTGTTTTCTACTTCTAGGTGTAACAATTCCTGCTTAGGAATTCCTGTTTAGAAGAAATACTTCTAGGTGTAACAACTCCTGTTTAACAAAACACTGGAGAATGCGGGCATCGATCCCGCTACCTCTCGCATGCTAAGCGAGCGCTCTACCATTTGAGCTAATTCCCCTCCTCTCTTTCTTAGCAGGATCACAAAACTCTGGAGTTCCACACATAAATTTTTTTCTCTTGCTCTGGTCTATTCAGAAATGACAGTACATTCGATTCCAAAACAGGTGTCAAATAATAAATTTGTAATATTTTACTTAACATTTCCAAATGACGTAGTAAGAAACAAGACAAATCAGAAACTGACATGTTTTCCAGGTGAATAAAATAAACAGAGTAATATTTTATTACTTGCAATTCATGAGAGGAAATATGTTCCAGCATTTGTTTTTTCAAAAAAAACCTGCCCAAAGTCGGTTTTGGTGTTTTAATATGAGTTATTTTATTTTAGTCAAATATATGGCAGCATTTAAGAAATAAATCATGTACATATAAGAAATAAGCTTATTTTACTCCAAAATTCCAGTTCAGTACATGCAAGCATCTTTTATAGTAACCTGGTTTTAATCCCACCACTAAAAAAATGTAACAGTGGAGAATGCGGGCATCGATCCCGCTACCTCTCGCATGCTAAGCGAGCGCTCTACCATTTGAGCTAATTCCCCCCCTTCAATAACCTTCTCTGTCCTGTAACTATAGATTGTCACAACCACAAATAATAACTACCTGTTTTACTGCCTGCTTCTTTATCATAGGTGGTAGCCCCAGGGCAGTCATTCAGAACACCTGGTACCATCTGACCTTGAGTTTTGTCTATTATGAGTCCAAGAGGACAAACTCCCAAGTAACACAATAAGGCACCTCATGCTAACTTGCACAATAAACTCACCACCTGAAGCCTTGCAGTGCCACGCAACTCACACTAGATTTATCCTTCTCTGAAGAGGACTGCCACTTCTTCTATGTTGAGGGAAGTCACATCACAGGCAGTGCAGTGGAGCAGCATGAAGATAATACAGCACTCACCTTTGCTCTGACATACCCTAAGAAAAAGCAAAAATCAAACCTGATTAAATTACCTTGCAGCAGTTCATACTGATGCTGCCGAAGAGATGCATTGAAGTGATGTGTGTTAAATGAAAGTATGTGGACACAAACCCTTCACAGCTGAAAAATCCACGAGAAATGAAAACCTGGAATTCAGAATTATTTCCAGCCATGTAGATAAGGAAATTTTCACAACCAGGTGGGTAAATTACAAAGTTTTACTCATCATCCTACATGAAAATTTGCAACAAATTCAAGCTCACAAAACAATGAGCTGTCAATTTTATGAAATATGAATTTTAATTAGTGAAAATAGAACTATTGCAGAGGTCTTTCCTCACCCTTATCTGACTTTAATATCAAATTAATTGTTTTTCTGTGAGCTGAATTATCCAAGCTTTAGGCCTTCTCAGTGGCAGCAAAGTGACACTTGGGGGTGAAAAACAGGGAGAGGTTATCTGCTGTTTTGATAGTGACTCTGGCTGCCTAGGCTAGATAAAGAAAACCGTACATAGAGCTGAACCTTGTGAAATACGATACAGAAAAGATCCCAGCTGCAGACATGCAGTGGGCCGTTAAGAGCCTATGATGTCTGCCTGTGAGGAGGATTGAAACCACTTTTGTACATTTGTTTTCCCCTTCAAGTTAACTTCAGTGAGGTAAAGTCAGTTACAATATTGTGCATGAAATTTTAAGAACAATTTTTTATTTACTGTTCTGCCTTACCTCAGTCTCTGCACGAGAATATTTAAATTCTAAGAGAATGTTCACAGTGATACTGTGTTTTTAGTTCCACATCTTGGCCTTGATCTGGATTGTGATAGATTTGAAGTGCTACCTTAGTTGCAAGTATCTGATGCTTGATTTTGTAATTTATGTTCTTTTGGCTGGATGCTGTCATCCAGCAAGTTAAATCCATTAGAGAAAAACGCCAATACATGTATTACTGTATTACTGCAGACATTCTCCTTTATTGACAGAACTTTCTCTTCTGTATTGGAACAGAAAGTGAGAAATCTCTCATTATATAATTTTCAGTGTAACCATTCCCACTGTAAACCATATTTTCATTCTTTGAATCCAGAAAACATTCCTTGATTTAATAACCTGGGAACAGAGCTTTGCCAATGTGCTTCTTACTGCGAAGTCAGTCAGTATGACTATACTTGAATTTCTGAATTTGTGAAATGTTTTTAGTAACCCCATATAATTAAAATGCAATACTATTTTAAGTGAATCAACACAAAAAGGTAGAAATACCTAGAATTTAACTTAAGAAAATATAAATGGTTTCTCTCCACAGATGGTGATAAATGTGAACTTTGAAATCACTGTATTTATCATTTGCATACAGCTAATTAGAAAATAAAGCTGGAAAAGAAAACTAACCGAAAAACAAGAAGGAAAATCTCATTGCCCTTCAGTGACTTCTAACAGTATGGTTTCTAGATCTGCAAGTCTTTCAAGATCTGCATAGTAACAGAGATTAAAACAAAAACCGGCCTCTCCTTCCTGAATAAACACTAGAGGAGGCTTTGTTTATGAAAGTAAGTATTGTTTTATTAAAGTAACACAGCAGAAAACGTATCAGTATGCTTCTTGTATGTTGAGTATTCTGAGTTCTAAAGTATCAGGCTTTTCAAATAAACAGAATGATGATTGTTTTTAAACAGACATGGCTCAACAAACTAATTATAGCTGAAGCAGCCAAGCTATGATTCAGCACAAGTAATTTCACCCATACAGCCTGTTACCATGGGGAATTAGCTCAAATGGTAGAGCGCTCGCTTAGCATGCGAGAGGTAGCGGGATCGATGCCCGCATTCTCCAGTGTTTTGAGACACTGAATAGATCTCTACCGTAAAGATTTTCTTCCATAAATTGGTCAAGTTTGTGAAAGAAAATAAACAGTAATATATACGATTTCATATAGCAAACATACAATTAGTATACAAACATACAATTTCACATTGCAAATAAAACAGAAGGCTCAATTAGCAGACTACACTTCTGAACTGATCATTTCTTCACAAAAGCATTTAATACTAATGTTCATATTCTGTAGTACAGTAAATAAAATTCACTTGTCCTTTATGAAGTCTTTTAATATGAGCATTTTTTTATGATATGAAAAGTTAGTCTTTAATTGTTTAAAATGTAAAAGTATATAGTTGTCTATATAATAATCAGCTCACCACAGAATTATTGCCTCTCCAGCTACCTTGATCCTGCTACCTGTTGTAGTTAGGATGGGCTTGACACACTTACTCCTAACCTGAGTTTTCAGTGATTTACAATCTCTCCAATTTCACTCAATTTCTTCCTCAACCCATTATAAGAAAATAATTGGCACTTTAAAAATTAATGCTCATCTTTGATCAACATTTACAAATTAAATCATTCATGGTGTGCATATGCTTCTTAAAATTGCATATTTTTAATCCTTAAAAAACTGCTACAGACGCACCTAAATTTAAAGGAGCCCCACAATGCACAGTAGTATAAACAGGGAACTAAAATTGTATCACCAACAAAAACCAGAAGAAACTGTGTGGCTGTCAGTGGTTTTGTTTCACTCTTTAAAACCTATTACTTTTTTGCACAGGTACCTACACTCATTTTACAAAAAAACAAAACACACCCCCCACCCCCAAAAAACCAAACCAAAACAAAACAAAACAAATCAAAACAAGTTTACAAGGTTCTTTTTGTTTGCGGTTTGCAGCTTTATCTCAAAACCAGCAGAAAAAAATACAACTGGCAATTGAAAAAAATAAGTATTGTTCGCAGTAGCTATAAAAAGTGACACTTAACGCTTTTAAGCAGCACATGCGTTCTCAGCGTCTCAAAACACTGGAGAATGCGGGCATCGATCCCGCTACCTCTCGCATGCTAAGCGAGCGCTCTACCATTTGAGCTAATTCCCCACATAACAGCAGGACTGTTTTTTCTGTCACTTCCTACTTCCATCTTTCCCAGTAACCGACTAACTTCCCAAAAGCTATACTGAAACTTGATCTGCTGTCTCAAATACAAACAAAACTTTCTCCCCCAAAATCACAGTAGCCGGGCAGTCAGCGTCCACTGCTCCAGTTCTAATCCCCTACCGAAGTTACTGGTAAGCAGTAACAGAACACAACTTCTCACTGAAATGAAGAAACAATTAGGTCTTCCTTAAAGCACACTACTTTTGACAGCCTCAGTGGGAATTTGGCCTAACATGAAATCTGGATTCCTTGATGTAACAGGATGCGTTTTATTCAGTTGAGCTACATCTGGATAACAGAAGGTCTGTGCTTCCTAGCAATTGCAGATTTATATTCACACCAAACAATTATGACTGTCAAGAGAAACCTGGATATATTTAAAGATCGTATTTTTTTAATAGATTTTTCCTTTTTGTAATCCCTAGGCAGAAAAGAATCAGCTCAATGACTTTACTCATTTCCACATTTTACAATGTGATAGATGTGACTGAATAGGTAGAGTTCTTCTAGTTGTTCTTGTGGCAATGGAATCTGCGACCAAGTTATAAAAAGGGTAAAAAAACGCAGCAGGGAGGCAAACAGAATACTGGGAAACAAAGTAACAGTTCACATTATCTATTTAAATCTCAGGTATTTTTAAGGTATGGCTGTATCACCAGACAGACATGCACTCTCACACATACATATAAAAATCAAGAATGCATGATTAAAATGTTTAAAAAAATCATGGCTATAATAAAACAGCAGTGAAAATTCTGTTCAGTGGCTTGGTTTCAGCACTGGAAGATTGGAATCAGAAAATACAAAGGAAGTAAGGTCTCCAATGTTTCCTGTTAATATACTAGAGTCTTCACCCTTTGAAAATGGCATTTAGAGGGTCACACACACACACACACACACACACAAAAAGCAGAAACTGCTGATGATTTCACTCTATCATAAAACAGAAATCAAGCAAAAGAGATCTACTTTGCTAGAACTGAAACATGCAGATTTGTTGACATAATGTGACTGACCTCATGACAACCACATTAACACATACTTCATGTGTAAGTTTCAGCTTACTTCCTCAACCTCTATCTATTGTCATTGAACTTGGGAGGATTGAAGCCTACCTAGCATATTTAAGATTAGCACAAACAGCTGCTGATTCAGACTGCTGGAAACAACTGTAATTTGTGTACACTATTAATCAAACCAATTGTTGATTAGTCAGAAAATAACACTGAAATTCATAAAAAGAAGAAATAACAGGCTGTAATGGAAAGACACACAACTGACTTTATTAAAACCCTAAGATAAGGAACTTTGGGGAATCATGTTTCTTTTTCCTGTAAAAAGAGGAAGGTGGATTTGAGTGAGCCCTTCAGAAGTCTCCTAATAGTATGGGACATTCTTTTGTTTTGACTCTAAGAAAAAAAAAAGGCAAGAGACAATTGTGAACTTTTATTTAATATTGTAAAAGCAGTACATCTCTGCTTTTCTGGGGAAAAAGGAAAAAAAAAAGAAAATGAAATTTCATAATTAACTCTAGAAACAACTCTCTTACAGTTTATTTCTTGATTTACCTAAGGTCCTTTAAGACACATGACTTGTACTAACATATAAAGATCTTTCAATTTGCTCTTCTGTAAGGACTCAGTAACTTCAGAAAGTACAATAACCAAAGTCCAGTCTTTGCAGGACATTCAGGTTAATACCCAAATAATACGTATTTGAGGGGTTTTTATAACTGGCATTCTATGTGTGTCCATGAAATAAACGAAAGTATCAAATTTTAGAGACTTTTGCTAAGCCAAGTACTTAAAGAATATATCCTAAGTCATACTCTGCATATACAGCTCTTGCCATGCCATATATAACTCAAGAATCATGCCTGTGTTCAACAGTCAAGTTCTCAGTAGTCAACAATTCAGTATTTAGCTGTAATCAAAAGTTACATATTTAAAGATAGTGGAGGTTTATGAAACAGTATCAAATCCCTCAAAGTCAACCTCTATGTAATCATTCTTTAAAAATATTTTACCACCCTAACTTTAACACACAAAAAACACTATTCATATGGCATTTCCTCCAGACTCCCCCACCTCTTCAACCTTGCGAATCAAGCTCCTTGCCACTATGCTCTTCCAACTTAGATCTTTTCTTGTCTGGGCAACCTACATTATCCTTTAGTAATACAAGTCCTTTTCTTGTTTTTCCTTTGTCCACCATGGTATCTATAATTTCTGAATACCAAGTGCATGGAATTCCTAAAGTCTGACAACAAATTTTAGGAACCTCACAGCACAGTGAGGCTCAAAGTATGCAGTACTTCAAAAGTCACCACAGAAAACCTCCAAACAGCTTAACTAAGCGAAGCCCAAGCAGGCCTGCAGTTGCAAATTCACTTTAAAAACACAACAGCAGCAGCATTTTAAGACAAATCCAGCACTTCTTTTATCCAAAGGTACTCTGGGAATATTATTATTGTAGGAATAGTAAACCAATTATTATAACAAAAATAATAGAAAACAGAATCTTCTAGAAAAGGCAGGAGAACTAAAGAGGTAAAGGAGAGGCAAAACACTAAGTATCACTGACCAGAGAAAAAAGACAGAATTCCCAAGCTAGCACTCCCATTAGTGATATGTCACTAATGCTAACCTCACTTTCTGAAACTGTGAAATGCTGCTGCAGCATCCAAGATGCCAATTCCCTGATTAAATGATGAGGACCACTGGTCTAACCCCAAATCCCAGTACCAGAAGTCTTGTACACACTCTCCCACTAAGCTCCAGTATCCTGTTACCTGCTCCTTTACTCCCACTGAAACAGCTGGATTTAGGAAATGGTTCTTCTTCTCTTATTAAAACCTAATCAATGTGGAAAGAAGCATCCGAAATTAATTTGTAGACAGTAATTAAGTTCTTATGGCTGGAATTATTCTGCAGATACCGCAGATATTTAAGCGACTGCCTGACTGTAAAACCCCACTAGTCACTATGGCAAAGTAAGCAAGTTTGTTGCTCCTTCTGCCCTGGGATGTTTTCACATGACCAGTTGGATTTTTGCACCCAGAGCTCTGAAATACCCAGAAGTTCCTTTGCTTAGTCATATAGTAACTAGAAACACAGCACTTAGTTATGATAAAAACATTCCAGAGCAGCAGAATGACTAAATCCTATTTTCATAAGTGACTCAGAATTATGCCAGTTATGGCACTACCATTTTGGTACACTAGCTACTAGCTAAATGAGTCGATTACTAAAAATTCCACTTTAATATTTTACCTTGTTTTAGTTATAATGCCTTCTGCTCTCTGTATGACTGAAAAAAATAGGTGACCTAAATTCACTCACTAAAACCATGATTTTCCTCCAAACAGGAATAAGCAATTCTAACCTTCGCATTAGCTGTTTCACAGTAATTAAAAACAATTAAAAAAAAAAAAAACAAAACACACAAAACCCAAACAAACAAAAAAACCAAACCTCAACAACTGTAACTCTTGTAGATTTTCATTTGTGTTTGGGTGTTTTTTAATTTTCTTGGTACTCCTTCCACATAAAGTCTTAAAACCACGTATGTTGCAAAACAAAGAAACAAACAGAACCCTTTTGATAGTATTTGTATTAGGTTTGTATGAACGCAGCACAGGCAGGAAGAGGATTTCATCACGGGTTTTCACTGGTAAAACACACCTACTTGCTTAATTAACGGAAGTCCCAAGCAGGCTAACAGCTGCACACAAACTGGGAAGTTCTGCTGCCTATGAAACTTCAATTTGCTATGAAGCACTAGTACTCTTAAGGCTTTAACACAGCAAGTAGGGGAAAAATTACTTACACAAATCCCAGCACTAACTATATGAATTAAGCAGTGTAAAATAACCTAAGGACAGCTACAGTAGGTTCGATTCATTCTTCTGAATAGCTTAATCATCAAGTTTATAGATTTAGCATTAAATAAATAAATACACCTCCAGTTCTGTATCTAAATATCTATTTAAAACATTGAAGGAAATGTGCTCTGAATCTTAGAAATAATTTTACTGAGAAGCAGTATCAAAATACAGATTTGGGCAATAAAATCAAAACCCCCCTTTGCAGTAAAAAAAGGCAACTACCCCCCCCCCCAAAAAAAAACCAAACAAAACCGCTTCCCTGCCCCACCCCAACATAATGTAAATTACATAAAAAGCCATACAGCAGACATATCATGAGCTAGAAGATGACTCCTCTCAGAATTCCAGGTCTAGTTCTGCTTTTCATGACCACAGTAAAATTTGATTTGTTGATGAAAATTTTATTGCTTGCTCACAAATTCTGCCACCATTTTACCATTGTTCATCATTTTGTACCCAAGCCACAAGACAAAAACATGCTAAGAAGACGCCAACCACCACCACCACCAAAAAAAAAGTACACCAAAACCAAACATAAAACTCAACTAACCCCCCCCCCCAAACCAACCAAACAAAAAAATACCCCCCCCCAAAACCATAAAAACAAACACCAAACTAGAAACATCTGCTACTTTCAGTAATAACTGCCACTACTATTAACTTGTTTGAGGAAACTAATATTGGGGCAGTCCACCTAGGAGATGGAAAATTCTGTAAATTAATCAAAGAATCAACGTTGGAAAAAGCTTTGACAATCGTTCTAAGTAACTTCAGCTAGCATTAGCAGCCACCACAGAAACCTGCAAGGGCCCAAATAATTCATATTAAATATGCTTCTTTTGTAAGAAGTACAAAGACGTAACGTTCTTTGTGTGTATTTACTAGATTGGCATTTAAGTTAAAGTCGTGCTATCCGTGCACTAATAAGAAGACAGTGAGCGCAGAGCTCAGCTCAGAGTAAGTCTATCATTTTATGCTACTCTTTTCGAATTTATACACCACCACACTAAACAGTCATTTTAGAACTGGAACAAGGAAACCAGACCTGTCAGTAGAAGAGCTGCACTCACTGATGAAGCTTCCTGATCACGGTGTACTCAGAATACAGATACAGCTCAAAAACATCACAGCCAAGCTCAATTAAAACCATGCAAAGTTTAAGTTAACACCCACTTCAACAGTTCAACCCTGTGATTTGATTCTCCTGCTTTCTCTTTGGCTCAATGATACGCTCTGAGTGAGCTCTGGCTGACAGTATCAGAAAATAAAAACAACTGCTATTAAATTTTGACTAATATGATGTTGGACTGGTGTTGAGAGGTGTTTACTGTGAGGGTGGTGAGACCCTGGAGCAGAAGCTGTGGCTGCCCCATCCCTAGCAGTATTCAAGGCCAGGTCGGACAGAGCTTGGAGCAGCCTGGTCTAGTGAAAGGTGTCCCTGCCTATGGCAGGGGGGTTGGCATCTTCCAACCCAAACCATTCCATGGTTCTGTGACAGCCATAAAGCAGAGGCGGAGCCCGAGTCATAGCAGCCCCGTACAGCCATGGGAAGTCCCGCAAAAGAATCCACAATTCCCCCTCATTCCTGAGGCGGAGCACCACCCACGGCACCTCCTCCTTCAAGCAAGCACCCTCACAACTGCAAAACTAAATTTCATGAGACCCACTCAGACAGCCATCACGACCAGAAAAACCCTTAATAAGAGACTGACAAACCAACCTCCTCCTCCAGCTTTGTCTTTCGAAGTCCTCAGCGCGCACCCCCCAGCCTGACAACACCATCCCCGCCGCTCCCATGCCTCTTCCCGCCTTCCGCCTCAGGGCCGCTCCACCCACCCGGTGCGAGAACCTTCTGCTACAAAGTGTGCTTACACACGCCCTGTCCACCGCTTTCCTAATGGGCAAGTGTACTGGAGCAGCTCCCTGCTCCAACTTTCCATCTTTAAATGTAGATGGCGCGGTGATCAGGCCGTGCTGGAGGCTTGTCGTGTTGTAGCTGGGTCTTCTCCTAATCCTTAAACTCTGTTAGGGATGGCAGGTAAGCCTTCAAAAGAAAAACCTTGCCCATGTGTTGAGCTGCTTGGTGGCTGGCTCTGGGGTCCTTCCTGAGCTGCTCCCTGCTAAAGTTATCTTCTGTATCATCGCAGAGGGGGAAAGTAACATTGGAAAGAGCAGATTTTGTCTTAGATGGCCCAGATATGATGGCCATAACTTGCACAAATAATAGCTGAGTGTGTGTGCCTTTAAATAAACTTATGTTTTTTTCCAAAATGCAAATCCATAATTGAGTTCTGTAATTAGGCTTATGCTCATGCATTTTCTAGGCGTTGCTTTGAGGGTGGAGGTTTGAAAAAACTAATTAAAACGTCTGTTGATCTGTGCTTAAAGTTCCTCAAGTTTCTAGTACTTGAGAGCGTGGCTTTTAAATAACTTGACTATATAATATATCTTTTCTCTGTTACTTCTTAATACAAAAAAGGCTGTAAAACTTCATGTGTGTGTGCAGCTGTAAAAGCTTTTCATCTTACAAAAAAAATCCTGGCTTCTGAACCTTTGGATCAGGTTAACTGCTGGCAAGAAAAGGCTGTCTTATTGGTGGGAAAACTCACCTGTGATTTATCCTGCTAGCAGGCTTGGTGAAGTCATAATATAGGTTAGGCTCCTCCAACTTGCACCCTTCCTTCTCGGTTCCTTGGAGTCTCTGCAGTTTCGGCAGTAACACATCTCCTATGCATTTGTAACCTTGTTATCTTTGTGTATTATAGATATTTTTCCTGGAAAAAAAAGTAAAAGAAGGAAAAGCAGGTATTCAGAAATCCATTTCAGTAAGAGCTGAGCTAATTTGTGAGCTCTTGTGAGACTTCACCTGGAGTATTGTGGGCAGTTCTGGTGTCCTCAACATAAGAAGGATATGGAACTGTTGGAACAAGTCCAGAGAAGGGCCACAAGGATGATCAGGGGAATGGTGTACCTCCCTTATGAATACAGGCTGAGGAAGTTGGGGCTGTTCAGCCTGGAGAAGAGAAGGCTGCGTGGAGACCTCGTAGCAGCCTTCCAGTATCTGAAGGGGGCCTATAGGGATGCTGGGGAGGGACTCTTCATTAGAGACTGTAGTGATAGGACAAGGGGTAAAGGGTTAAAACTTAAACAGGGGAAGTTTAGATTGGATATAAGGAGGAAATTCTTTCCTGTTAGGGTGGTGAAGCACTGGAATGGGTTGCCCAGGGAGGTTGTGAATGCTCCATCCCTGCCAGTGTTCAAGACCAGGTTGGACGAGGCCTTGGGTGATATGATTTAGCGTAAGGTGTCCCTGCCCACGGCAGGGGGGTTGGAACTAGATGATCTTAAGGTCCTTTTCAACCCTAATTTTTCTATGATTCTGTAATTTTCTGATGGCAAAAGCCTTTCTGTAGCATGAGTGCCCCTTTTGCTAAATGTTGTCAGAGAAATTACAGGTACTTCAGTTCTGAAATAAATAAAAGGATATGAAAAAAAGGTTAATGGTATGAGACAACCTGAAGTAAGATCAGTGGGAACGTGAATTGTTTACCAGTACTTTAAGATTATAGCAGCATTTGAATTTATAGTTGCCATCTCTGAAAAACTTCGAGGAAATGTTAACCTTTTCTGAAATTAAAAACAAAAGCTGTGGGTTCTTTCTTAGGTTCAGGGGTGGTTGGGTTTTTTTGTTTGTTTTTTGTTGGTTGGTTTTGGTGTTTGTTTTTTTTTCTTTTTTTATTAACCCCTTTAATTTTAGAGTAATAATAGTTACTGAAGATTTAAATTAGATATTAGGAAGAAGCACTTCACTGCAAGGGTGGCGAGACACTGGCACAGCTTGTCCAGAGAAGCTGTGGCTGCCCCATCCTAGGCAGTGTTCAAGGCCAAGTTGGATGGGGCTTGGAGCATCCTGGTCTAGTGGAAGGTGATGGCAGGGGGGATGGAACTGGATGGGCTTTAAGGTCCCTTCCAACCCAAACCATTGGCTTTTACTATGGGATAATTAGTTTTGGTTAGCTACCTCACTGTAAATTCCTACAGATGATCAAGTAACCAGGTGCATCATGCACAGAGGAGAGTCTGGTGGTGTGCTTGATGATGTATAAATAAGGTCACATGAAAAATGTTTCTTACTTCAGCTGGATTTTGTATCATAGTTTCTTCTACAAATGAAATGACTGTGGTAAGAAATCTACCCCAAGTGAGTAATACAGTTGCAGCATTTGTAGCTTTCCGCATTAATTATTCAAAGACTTCACTTCTGGGTTGAATTTTTTAAGTCTGGAGATAGATCTGTGCAGCAGACAATGCCTTTCAAGGGTCTCCTTAAGCTTTGTTTCCAGTAGTTGATCAACTGTTTTGATCAACTGTCTGAAAGAATAGTGAGCTTTTGAGACACAGAAAACTATAATGATTTCCACCTCGTGTTTTCAACACAGAGAACAGGCTGAAGCATCTGTGCATGTTCTAGCAGCTGCCATAGAAAACTGAATTATTTATATGGCAAAGATATGAGTATTACAAATACATCGATTTCATGCTGGTTTTAATCTTTAGGACGTTCTACAAACATTAAAAGACTATATATATTCATTCACTCCACCCAAAATACTCCTTGTTTTTTTTTAGCTCTGTGAAGACTAGCTTTGGTGTTAACTAAGATGTTAACACTAACATGACTTAAACTTACAGATGGACATAAATCCACAGCAGCTTTATTTCTGATTTTTACTCCTGCTTGCACAATTCATGTTCTTGGAGCTGACAACTATGGGTTTGTTTTTTTTACCAAATATCACTCTTTCTTCCCCTTCCTATTTTCTTGTGGTTGGCACCATCAGAAGATCTGTAGCAAACCAATGCTGAAGCTTGTCAAGAGCTGGGTAAATACTGCTATACAGAGTAGAGACAGTGGGTTACTTTTAGTTATTCCTGCTTTGTGGTATCACTTGCCAAAGAATCCAGCTCTGGGAACAACTCGGTGTGTGTGTACTGCAGCTCAAAGCAATCCATTACATCAAGGCTAATGGATCTTATGTCACCAGAAGCCAGTGAGATGGCATGAAGAGCAAGCCAGGCTGGTTAGAAACCAGTCAGGTCATGATCTTGCCTCCTCACCTGCTCTGGTTTGATTTCCCCTTAGTCTGATTTGAATGTGATGAGTAACATCTGTTCTTCTGTGGAGTGAGGAACATGGCTTACCTTTGCAAAGAGTCAGTATCTGATGTAGTGCCGACACAGCACAAGAACAATCAACTACGTAAATGAAGATGTTAAAGCAACAGTTGAAATGTCCATCGGGCAGATTACAGGCTATATGGTTTAGCTGTATGTGGAACACTATACAGAATTTATGGAGAAGAGCACAAGTGCACAGGGCCATGTCATACCGGGCAGTTTGTAAAACTTCTCACTCTCCAGAGACCCAGAGTCCTGATTCTCTTGCTGGGTATGTCACTTTGTACATGGTAGCAAGCTTAGGTTTTTCAGAGATAACCCTAGAAGCTTCTAGGGTTACAAATATGTAGGGGGAAGATACAAAGTGGAACGCAGCCTGGGTTTGGTTGAGCTCAAGAAATCTGGATTAATCAACTATGTGTATGTGCAAGTTGATGCGTGCTTCTTCACATCATGACTGAGCTCAAGTTTGAGGCTGTTTGAGGAGAGTTTTCCAATCCCTCTCCTGAACCCTGATCGCACCCCTCCTGTAATCCATTCAGGTTGTCTGCTGGCTTCAGGGAAGGAGTTGGCAGCGAGGGAGCGGGTGGTAGGTGCGTCGGCAATCCCAGGGCCAGAGTCTGTGGAAGGGGAGAGGGCTTTTCGAAGGAACCGGGGAAGCAAATGTAGGCGCAAAGTAGCAGCAGGCGAGGCCCTAGGCAGGTTCCCCGGGGGAAGCACGGCTGCCGCAGGGACCTGCGAAGTCCGGGCTCCCCAGGGAAGGGGGGCATAACTGCTGGCTGGGGCGAGAGCACTGCGCATGCGTCAGCTGGCTGCCCGAGCCGGTGGGTGGCAGTCGGTGCGGTAGGCTGGGGGGGTGGTGGTTGAGCTGGTGCAGTTCCTTCAGCTTTCCGACAGATATCGGCAGGAGGACTTGTGCAATCAGAAGCTTTTTTTTTCCCAAGTATACAGCTCTAGAGCTGTGTTTTGGGTTAAATCATTTGACTATAAAACTGTTTCAACTAAGCATATTTTTTTTTTTTTTCACTCATTAAGCATTTCCTGAATCAGGTTTTTCATGTGTATGCCTTGAAAATTGGAAAGAACATGGGTTTCCTTGTTCAACTGAAGTTGTGGATTTGGGGTTTGTTTTGGTTTTTTGCTTGTGGTTTTGGTGTTGTTATTTTTTTAAATAATATTAAATTTCTTGTAAATAACTCTATCTTTTGGAGAGCTTCTTGTATGAGAACAGCTAAATAACAAGTACCTGTGTTATAAAAGAGATGAATAAGATGATTCTGGTAGTGTATATGCGGAAAGATGTGTCACGATTCCAGCTGTGAGTTGCAGTCAGTTGCTGGTGTGTGGAAAGAGTGACTCGGCAAGAAACAATGGATTTATCACCAAATATAGTGGTGGTGTAGTTTTCAGTAGGTCAAAAGTCAGTGACTGTAAGTTTCAGAGATTTTTTTTTTTTTTCAGGTGGGGAATTAGCTCAAATGGTAGAGCGCTCGCTTAGCATGCGAGAGGTAGCGGGATCGATGCCCGCATTCTCCAGTGTACTTTTTCAACTCTATTTTGTTACAAACTAAACAGCAGCATTTGAGAATATTTCCTATTTACAGTTAACTTTTTCTTATGTCCGTGTAAAGAAATGGGAAAAAAAATTTAAGATGAAAACCCCTAACACATTGTTTTAAATATTTTTTCCTTTTCAAAGTCATGTTATTTTGTATACAGAGGAAAAAAATATAATCTTTGCATGAAATAACAAAACTTACTGACATTTTAATATACTAATAACAGACATGAACAAATTTATAGAGAAAACCAAATTATTTTTCTTAATGTGCCCTTAAATCTTTGTTTTATGCTTTCAGT